TCTGATAACATTTCCGTTCTTTAACAAGCTTCGCTTCACACTGTTTGAATAAATAATATAAATGCTTCAAACCAAAATAAAAAGATAAGACAGCCATTGAGGTCAGCATCCACTTCCTCTTCATGTTGTTTATGTGCTTAATTTGAAAAGGTTACCTTCAATATTTAGAATGAGCTAGTTACAGAGTAATGGATGTAACATCTATAGTCTTATCGAAGCTTTTACATACAGCAACATAACACAAAACAACAACAACAAACAAAAGCAATAAAGACGATACACCCACACACAGAAGCAATAATAATAATTGTTTGTTTGTTTGGTGATTGTTCTTGGTTTGCGGCAGAGGTAGCTGCAAAAGAAGAAAAAGATTGTATGAGAAACCTTAAGAAAAAACTACAGTCTTCCATTCCCAAAACCTAAATTCGAAAAACGAGGTTTGCTACCGGTATAATGACACTGTCCATGCATCTAAATCGCAAGTTAATAGATGAAATACGATGAAAATTAATGGGCCTAGACAAACCACGAACATTATTCCAACTTGTACATATCACTTAACACTGAACAAAAACGGTGTATAATGCTGTCTAAAACCAATTGAAAGGCTGACCGGACGGGTGAAAAGGGTAAATTTAATGCCCAATATTTCGGTTTGACAGGACTGAAGTAAAATGGATAAAACGGTCACAAAATTTGAAATGATTCTAAAGGAAGGTTGAAGAGTCTTGTCCCTCAAGATCAAAAATACCTGTCTTGTCTTTCATTACAATGGTCCTTGCATTACAGTTTATCCATATAATACCATTACCAATTCAGATAAAGACTTGGAGAGGATCACCGTCGGGGAATCAAGGTGCACTCTTATACCAGATGTCTTGCTAAATTTACTCCAGTTTAAACCTTTACCCTTCTTACTGATAAATGGTCATTATTTGCTATTTCTGTTGCGGAACTGAGGCCGCTGCATGCTTTATCGCGATTAATGTATAGAGTGTGTTCACGTGACGTCATCAAATTCTCAAATTCAAAACTAAAGAGCCATTAAAGGCTTTATCCTCATCAGGCATAAGAGGTACTAAATTTATATCTGTTAGAACTTTCCAGCTCAATAGCGTCCTTCGTTTGGAAACCAGTGCATTTTGAATTTCGAAGTATGGCGGTGCGTGACATAAAGCTACGATCGCGTTTGTCGAAAAATATACACTTATCTCGTAATTTTTAGCCATTTTAGGAGTTAAACTATTAGGAAAAGTGCTTGTGTAAATGTTTGTGGTTCGGTTCAGATAAGCAGTCGACTAGATAGGCAAAGTAAGTTCCAGATGTTTACGCTATTTTCCGGCCGCCATTTTGGAGGACTAAAGAGGTCCACCAATATGGCGGCTCCTAACCACTTGTAGGCTCTATAATTTTGCGCGGACCATTTCGACGCATATCTCAACTGTGGTACATAATATCACAATTTCTTGACTTTATCCACTGAATGGTTTTTGATTTATTTTGTATTGCGTGACAATGAACACACTCTTTCGGGTAACGAAAATGAACGTGAATGACTTGCTTACCTTTACACTGCTTGCCATTTCCGTGATATCCATGTAAACAAGAACAGCGATATGATCCTCTTGTATTAATACACTCCGCTTTCCGATGACAGTCGTGAACACCCTCTGCACACTCATCTATATCACTACATGACATTCCGTCGCCATGGAAACCTGAATTGCAGTTACAGGTGTACGAGCCTCGCGTGTTAATGCAACGCGCATCCCAGCTGCATCTGTCTGTTCCATCTCTGCATTCATCGATGTCTAAACAAAAGTGAGTTAGATCGTCGTTAGTATGGTCGTTATTTAAGCCCCTATTCCCGATGAAGTTCCAACTTATATTTTGCTCAATCTGCAGTTCCTAAATTTGTGCGCTTGAAATAATTTATATCTCATGATATATCAAACACTATTAAGAGTCACTGCCTATAAATATGGACCAAACAACGGCACAAGTCGAAACATTTTCGCTCATTTTTTGCCCATAGATTGGCCTTAGCTAGAAAACAAGCGGACCAAATTTACTTTCTGCTAACGCAGCTTTTTTTGGAAGAAATTTGCAAAAAATTATTTAGCCCCGATTGAGCTCAAAATTTACTTCCGGTTATACTGAACTTTCTGAATATTTGATTGCTTCGCGCGCCGCACAGCAGCTACTTGAGAATCTTTCAATGGCTTTTATATTCAGCTCAGGTCTTCATGGTAGGACTGAGTGAAAAATAAAATAAATCGAGGTTTCGTTTGAGCCCGAAACGAGATCGAATAAAAACGCAAAATATTACAATGTGTTGCAAACAGATCATAGCACTAAGTTAAATATCGCCATACTTTTCTATGGGCTATAACTTTAAATGCCATAAGAATACTTTCTACAGGTTAGCTGTACACCCATCTGTTTGAAAATCAAAAAACATCTCTGGGCAAATGGTTTTAAGTCACCCGCCTTGGCCTGTGTTTCTCGTACATTTTTCCCTGAATCCGCCGGGAATGTAAACAATTGCGTGACGCGGGCGGTCACCCTGAATACATAACTTGTTTCCAACAAACTGCAGATGGCTATCTAAGGAATTTGGGTGAAAAAAGAAAAACATAACGGACCACTTTTAACTTTAATATTTTGAAAGGCATCGCTTTGGAAACTTCGGTAATTAAAAGCGCCAATTAAAAGCAATTTACTTGGAATTTAGGCGTTACTGCTATGTCGTTATTAAGCTGTCGTTCTTTCTTTGATCATTTTAATTACAAGAACGAGTTCTAGATAGAAAATCATCTTATGCTCATTTGTTAAAGTGCCTATGAAGTAAAAAATAATTGCTGCTTACTTAAAAGGCTTTTCAAAGTAAAGAAGAATGACGTTTTCCTTTTTGAAAGTTTTTTTTTCGTTTTAGAGATATTAACGTTTTTGTGAGGAAAGTGATGACGTCATAGGTGGACTTTCCTCATTTGCATAATACAAAAACGTGAATATCTCTAAAACGAAAAAAGATATTCCAAAAAGGAAAACGCCATTCTTCTTTACTTTGAAGA